CAATATTAAGCATTGCTGTATGATAAGAACTTTGCCTAGTGCTCTTATGAATGTTTTAGCATGACTTTGTGAAAGGTTAACTACTAAAACTGAATGAAATAGCAAATTCTTTATGGACAGTGTCTGCATATTTGGCATTTTAATTCTGTAACGTACTTGTTCTGCAAATCTCTGTAGTAGTTATTATGCTACTGTTTTTGATAGCATTGATACCATTTCTTACAGATAATATCACGATGATCATTGCGTTTGTATTACCGAATGTGGTATCCTGTTCTCTGTGGGCTTTTTAAAAATGTTTTATTACTGTCAGTTTTTAGTGCCGGCGATGCAGTGTTGCCAGGTATTGCTGTGGTAACAAACAAAAGCAAAGCCCCCAAAAATAAAATAAACTGAAAAAATGTCTAATCATTTAGATAAAGATATCGCTAACCCTAAACTGCAACTTTATTCACTTCCTAAAAGGTCACATTATTTTGAAAAAAAAACAAAACAAGTCTAAAGACGATTATAAAAACTGGATCTGGCAACACGGAGGCTGCATCCGCGCCTTCATTCACAATTCTCTCTCAAGCCGCGTTCACATGAATTGCTCGCCATCATTTTCACACCACAGACACTGAACAATCTACGCAAACCATGTAAATTTAATTATACATGCAGACACTCATAGGAGGACTTTTAAATGGCTAATTAGAAAGGTAGAAATTGCATGGTTTGCGTGGTGCCTAAACACACTACTGGTGACGGAGAGCGAGATCAGCGCGTGTGTACCACTGCAGCCGCGTTACTGCTGTTCTTCAGATGGTTGTGCAGGAGTTTAGTGGCTCCGTCCTGGAAGGTTTTGGGCAGAGCTCCTAACAGCATGGTGAACTCTGGGGTGTTCAGCTCAAACAGGGCGATCAGAACCATCTGAGCAGCCTGGAAACACACAACCAGCACAAAAAACACTAATGAGATGCTTTAACTGGCAATATGAGACTTTGTCACTTCACAACAGGAAGAGAAAATGACGTATCACACTGTCCCTGATTAGGTGCAAATGAAAGCATTTCAAAATCTTGCAATAACATGAGTTTGATACACATCCCAATGGACCTTAGTGAGGAGTAGACATCATGTTGAATCTGAAGCGAATGCATAAAAACTGTGAGGGATAGATATTTAGATTGTAAGGTCATAGGTCACATCTCATTTATTTTTTTCAAATTTTTTGTCTGCTGGAAATATTTGAACCAGTGTTATTTTAGTATAATTTATATGAAGAGTTCATTTGCAAAAACAGATAACTATTTTATTTATAAATTACTTTTTCATTTGTATTTATATCTCATACACACACAAACACTGATATTCCTATCATTATGGGGACATTTCATAGGCGTAATGGTATACAGACCAAACTGTATTTTCTATCCCCTTACCCTAACCCTACACCTAAACCTGCCCCTCACACAAAACTACAGCCATTTTTACATTTTGTAAAGTTTAGTATGCTTTTAAAGCTATTTTAATTATGAGGACTTAGAAAATGTCTTCATAATCAACATGTGATTCAAATTATTCAAAGACATTCACATGGTTTGATAACACTACAATCAGGGTTATTATAGTTATAAACGTTAAATGAAATAAAATATAAAAATGTATTATATTTCAGTTAGTTTCCAAGGCAACATTTCTCATTTTTATTTTTAGTTTAACATGACGTTCTAAAAACTAAAACTGAAATAAAAATTAATAAAAACTATGCAGACATACTTTTTAAAAAATACTAAAAAAAGAGACAAAAACATAACAAAATTACTAAAACATTAACTAAAATTACGATGAACACAGAAAATATAAATATAAAAAATATTTAAATATTGATCAAAACTATATAGACATTTAAAAAATGACAAAAGCACAACAAAATTTTTAAAATAATTCAAAATATTAATAAAAACCATAATAGTACTTCAGTGATACCATTTAACACTGTTTACAATAAGGTTGAATTCTTACCATTTATTATTCTTAGTTAATATTAATTTCAACATCTATTAATACATTATTATAGTCAAAAGTATTTGCGAATATTTAATGGTTCTGAGCAACATGAACTAACAATAAACAGTATTTTTATTATCTAACAATAATAAGGATTAATAAGTACTGTAACAAATAAATTGCTCATTGTTAGTTAAAATTAGCACATGCATTAACAATGTGTTAACAATGGTGTTTGAAAGAAAAGTTCAATGACAATCATACGAAATGTATAAACCAGACATTCAGCAAGGAAGCAAATTTATGATAATTATTAATAATTCAGCTATTTTCCATAACATTATTCAAATAGTATTTTTCTATTTTATTTCAAATTGTATTGTTATTATTATTTCAAATATTATTTTTATTCAAAATGTTTTAATTTGGTGGTTTGATGGACATTAAAATAAAGCAGTAAGAAGCATCAGAATCAAGGACCGGAACTATCTGTTTTATAAGTTATTTTTGGACACTGGTTATGAGCTCAATTGAAGGAGAGCAGGAAAACGTTGGGAAATGAGAAAATAAAGTCCAGACCGACCTTGAGGTTTGGGGTCTGAGTCTGATCCACGATAAACCGCATCAGGATGTTGAACTGCTGATCGTACGGAAAAGAGTCCCTGCGAAAACCAGGACGGAAAGAAGAAAATAAACAACGACTACAGGACAAAATTACAGAAATACAGTTCACTGCTGAACACTCTTGAACGCTTTATAGTACAAGCTGAGCTGGTTTCAGACCTGGTGACGTCGAGGGCCCGCTGAACTTTGGCCTGAACAGAGCCCAGAAGATCGGCCCCCATTTTCTTCAGCAGCTGCGTGAGCAGAATGAAGAGCCAGTCCTGAAGATCCTCTCGGTGCAACATGATGAAGTCCACCAGCGTCTCCAGGAACATGCTACTGTGACCAGCACTGTGAGTTTATACACACACACACACACACACACACACACACACACATCGGTGTAGAAACACAGGAAATGTGATTTAGCATCTCTGCTGTGAACTAAACTGAACTAAATGTTTCAATTGTTGCTTCATGTCAGTCTTTGGCCGCTGCATTTTTTCGAATGGAACAGCACATTCTGTATGAACCAGAATAAAATTACTTAATTAATAATTAATGCATTCAAATAAAAATAATTAATCGAAAAAATTTAAATACATTTAAAATATATTTTAAAAATTATTTTACTTCAGGTATTTTTCTTTTCATATTTTTAAGCTGAAGTACTAAAATAATTCAAAATAAACATGAAGTAAATTTGGTTTTAAATTTTTACATTTAATTACATTTTAATTTTAAACTTTATAGACGTTTAAAAAGAAACACACACAATTATTACTACTACTGTTACTGTTACTATAATTTATATTTAAATTCATCTTCACCTTTTAAGAAAATCATAAAAATATAACAAAATATACAAATAATATAATATAATAACTTTATTAATATAATAGTATTTTATTTCAGCTAGTTGACAAGGCAATATTTCTCATTTAGCTTGACATGATGAATTAAAATAACTAAAACCAAACTAAAAATGAATAAAACTATAAAGACGTTTAAAAAATAATAAAAATGACAATAACACAACAAAATCTCTAAAACTTGAACCTTGAAATTTAATTAAAATAAAAACTACAAATTAAAAAAAAATAATTAAAAAAACAGAAAATACAAAAATAAAAACTATTGCTCTCAAAGGTATTAAAATAACATTTGTGTGAGCAGCCCCGAGTTTTTAAAATGTATTTGTTTGCCAAGATTTTCAGGTTTGAAACACTTACTCTCTGAAGCATCGGCCCAAAGCAGCACCAGAACATAAAACAGAACAAAAGTCATCAGCATTAGAAGTCAAAACAAACATAAGCATTATTTAATGAAACTGTGAATGAATGAAGATGATGAAAGGTCACCTTGCTGTGAGGATCTGCAAACATCCGGGTGAAGATCTCACACAGTCTCTTCAGCTCCACACGACTGAAACACACATCGACACTCACAGCTTTACATCTGTATTACAATTCAGATTTCTAATGCACTTTTTAAGACACAATCATATTAACTGCAAATGGTATTATCATCAGAAATCTTCTAAAAAAAAAAAGCACTTCTAAAATGATATTTAATGTCAAACTAAATTATACTAAACATATATATAAATCGAAACTATCAAACTAAATAATTAAGAAGGTGCACAGATATAGAAATTTGGACTGATCTTAGTAATTACATTTTTTTTTTAAACTTATTTGAATAAAATTAAAATATTGAAATACATATATCTATATTTTTTTCTATTCTTAGTAACCAGTGTAGTTAATGCCTCATGTACCTGAGGACTCTTAGTAATTTATTTATTAATAAAACATTTTAGTAAAATTAAAACAATTTATATTTTTATAAAATTGAAATAATCAAACTAAATAATTATGAAGGTGCACAGATTTAGTGATGTGGACTGATATTAGTAATTTAATTTTTAAATTAAATAATTTATTAAAATTAAAATATGTAAATAAATATACATAATTTTTATTTTGTAGTAACCAGTGTAGTAGATGCCGAATGACTCTTCATACATTTTGTTTAATAAAATAAAAAGAATATAGATTACCAAAATGTAAATTATCAAACTAAATAATTAAGAAGGTGCACAGCTATAAATATTTGGGCTGATATTAGTAATTTATTTTCCTAAAATTATTAAAAAAAAATTTTTATAAAATGTAATAAAATATTTATAGAAATATATAAAATTATTATTTTTTTTTAATTATTTCTTTATTTTTTCTCAGTAAGTGGTGCAGTCGTGGCCTAATGGTTAGAGAGTCGGACTTGTAACCTGAAGGTTGCGGGTTCGAGTCTCAGGTCCGGTGGGGGAGTGAATAACCAGCGCTTTCTCCACCTTCAATACCACGACCGAGGTGAGAGGCTTGAGCTTAAAGGTTAAATGCAGAGCACAAATTCTGAGTATGGGTCACACTTCACTTACCTGAGCACTCTTTGGCTCTTCAGGAGGTTCTGGAGTCCCAGCAGCCCTTCTTTCCTCTCGGAGCAGTTGGAGCTGGCGCAGTGGTTCAGGATCTCGGCCACGTCCTCCGTCTGACGCAGGTAATGTGGAGCAGCGCTGTTACGGGAGCTGAAGGAGCGTTCGGAGCAGGCGCTGGATGCGTCGCTGTTTGCGTCGTCATCCGAGTACATGCCGGGAGATTCGTACCGCCGCCGCATCGGCCTCCGCTGCAGCACAAAGATGACTTACAAACACTACATATACACTAACAAGTGAAGAGTACGATTTTTAATGTTTTATAAAGAAGTCTCTTCTGCTCACCAAGCCTGCATTTATTTAATCCAAAGTACAGCAAAAGCAGTAATATTGTGAAATATTTTTGCTATTTAAAATAACTGCTTTCTATTTGAATATATTTAAAATGTCATTTATTTCTGTGATTTCAAAGCTGAATTTTCAGCATCATTACTCCAGTCGCATGATCCTTCAGAAATCATTCTAATATGCTGATTTGCTGTTTAAGAAACATTTATTATTATTATCATCATCAATATTTAAAACAGTTGAGCACATTTTTACAAAAACATTGTTACAAAAGACTATTTCAGATAAATGCTTTTCTTCTGAACATTCTATTCATCAAAGAAACCTGAAAAATTCTACTCCGCTGTTTTCAACATAATAATAATAATAATAATAATAATAAATGTTTTTTGAGCAGCAAATCAGAATATTAGAATGATTTCTGAAGGATCATGTGACTGGAGTAATAAATTACATTTTAAAATATATTCAAATAGAATTCAGTTATTTTAAATAGTAAAAATATTTCAAAATTGTACTGTTTTCACTGTACTTTGGATCAAATAAATGCAGGCTTGGAGAGCAGAAGATAATTCAAAAATTTAAAAAAACATTAAAAATCTTACTGTTCAAAAACTTTTGACTGCTAGAGTACATCTGTGAAATATTACTAAGATTGCGCCACGATGCATGCAGCTCAAACCTAAAGGAACGAACACTGATTAGACAGAAAAGAGACATGCAAAGGATTGACGGTCATGGATGTTTTTGAACAATTACATGCATGTAAGTGAATACAGCTGAATCCCATGGCCAGAACAAAAGCCATCTCAAAATCAAAAGGAAAAAAATAAAAATATACAATATCATTTAACTATTTGGGGTCAGTAATTTTTTTTGTTCGTAGAAATTATTAATATTATTTTTTATAAGTTAATAAATAATATTACTAATTAATAAATTATTTATCAACAGTGACAGTAAAGACGTTTATAATGTTACAAAAGATTTCTATTTCAAATGAATGCTGTTCTTTCGAACTTTCTATTCATCTGTGAATCCTGAAAAATAAAATGCATCACGGCTTCCATACAAATATTGGGCAGCACAACTGTTTTCAACATTGATAATAATAATAAGTTATAATCTAAAGACATTTATAATGTTACAAAAGATTTCTGTTTCAGATAAATGCTGTTCTTCTGAATTTTCTATTCATCAAAGAAACCTGAAAAATTCTACTCCGCTGTTTTCAACATAATAATAATAATAATAATAATAATAAATGTTTTTTGAGCAGCAAATCAGAATATTAGAATGATTTCTGAAGGATCATGTGACTGGAGTAATAAATTACATTTTAAAATATATTCAAATAGAATTCAGTTATTTTAAATAGTAAAAATATTTCAAAATTGTACTGTTTTCACTGTACTTTGGATCAAATAAATGCAGGCTTGGAGAGCAGAAGATAATTCAAAAATTTAAAAAAACATTAAAAATCTTACTGTTCAAAAACTTTTGACTGCTAGAGTACATCTGTGAAATATTACTAAGATTGCGCCACGATGCATGCAGCTCAAACCTAAAGGAACGAACACTGATTAGACAGAAAAGAGACATGCAAAGGATTGACGGTCATGGATGTTTTTGAACAATTACATGCATGTAAGTGAATACAGCTGAATCCCATGGCCAGAACAAAAGCCATCTCAAAATCAAAAGGAAAAAAATAAAAATATACAATATCATTTAACTATTTGGGGTCAGTAATTTTTTTTGTTCGTAGAAATTATTAATATTATTTTTTATAAGTTAATAAATAATATTACTAATTAATAAATTATTTATCAACAGTGACAGTAAAGACGTTTATAATGTTACAAAAGATTTCTATTTCAAATGAATGCTGTTCTTTCGAACTTTCTATTCATCTGTGAATCCTGAAAAATAAAATGCATCACGGCTTCCATACAAATATTGGGCAGCACAACTGTTTTCAACATTGATAATAATAATAAGTTATAATCAGAAAATCTTGAGCAGCATATTAGAATGATTTCTGAAGGATCATGTGACACTGAAGACTGGAGTAATGATGCTGAAAATTCAGGTTTAATCAAAGAAATAAATGACATTTCAACACATATTCACATAGAAAACAGTTATTTGAAATTTTAATAATATTTCACAATTTTTACTGTATTTTTGACTAAATAAATGCAGCCTTGATGAGCAGAAGAGACTTCATTCAAAAACATAAAAACAAAATACCGACCCCAAACGGTATGAAAATTAAGGCTATTTTAGGACTTTTTTGCATTCGGACATTGTTTTCATGCCAAATAAAAACACGTTGAAATATTCTCATCTCACTTTTTATACTATATTATACGTTTGTATGAAATGCCACAGACATGATTGGTTTATGAAAGATATTATGGTGAAGATTTTGAGAGGGAAAACACTCAATCAGGTGTCCATAAACCAACTACCTTATTCCTGGAGTCTCCTAAAAGCTGCAGGGTTTCCAGACAAATGCAGAGGGACAGTAAAGACAAAGACATCAGGAATATGATGACGGATAATAATCAGACTGGAGATGGAGGACGTGATTCTCACCAGAGCGTCTGCCACGGCCGCCTCCACCTCTGTGCCCGTGTTCAAGATCCGCATTGCCTGATGGATGAGACCGAACCGATCTGACAGAGACAGAGACAGAGACGGAGAGGGTTCAGTAACCACACACAACATCAATGTTCAGAAAAACCAAACACAGACACTGCATGCTTTTCATTCATCAGCATCACAGCACACAAGCGTACAAACACAGACTGATCTGACTGAAAACATGCAAGAAAACACTACAAACAAAACTCTGCATGTAAGAAAACAAATCAAGAAATTGCAAAACAACAGTAAAAACAACAAAAGTCAAAACAACAGTAAAACTCTCAAAATTAAACACAAATATGCAACGGGGCCCAACAGTCTGAAATAATGCTGAAAATGTATGATTCAAATTTAAATGATGAATTATTCAAATCTGGAAATAAACCAAGTTTTAGGATTTTGAATGAATGCATGAATTACATAAATAAATACATAAAACTAATAAAGAGCAAATGCATAAATATTTAAATAACTATATTTAAGTAAAACTAAAAGCATTTGCTACTTAAAAAAATCATTAACCGAAATAAAATAAAATATAGAATTTTTTTTACATTTTTTATTTTATTTTAGCTAAATAATTTCTCATTTTTAATTAGCTTAACGTGATGTACTAAAATAACTACATTTAAAACTGAAATAAAAATGTATAAAAACTACTGTATATAAGTAAAAAAAAATACAAAATAAAATAAGAATGACAAAAACACATTACAAAATTATTAAAATTGTAACTAAAATGACAATAGAAAATATAAAATTAAAAAATTAAAAATATTACTAAAAACTGATATTGATCTGTATATGAATATAATCAGAATGAATAAGTAAATAAATAAATGAATGTTGTCAAATGGACGAGAAATCTCTTTCTATGTGATTCTGAGGATTATGTTCGTGTGTTATTCAACTTTTGATTCAATTGCTAAGTTGATAACATCATTTTTAATTAAAAAATGTTTTTATATTATATTAGAAAAGTACAAAATATAAATTACTACACTTTTGGACCCCACTGTATATTAAAATTGTATGATGGCAAACGAGACATACATATTTATTTTTTCACACAAATAAAAACTTCACACAATATTCCATTAAAAAAAATATAATAATAAAATAAAATAAAATGCCAAGGCTGCAAGTAGATTTTGGAAATGGCATAAGGGAGAAATAACACACTACTGCCAATAATCTCAAAATCTCCAAACATCAGCTGATTAACTGGCCTGTCCAGTATTATGACATAAATGACAATTAAAAAAAAAACACATTTCACAATAAAAAAGAAAGCACAAAAATACAGCAAGCATAAATAACCGTCCAGTTCACACACTTTTTTTGTCTTGTTTTCAGCCAAAATATCTAAAACATTTTTAAATCAAGAAGGATTTTCTAGACAAGTAAAAATTATTGTCTTGGTTTCAGAAAAAAACAAGTCAAAATTAAGTGGGTTTTTGCTTAGAACAAGCAAAATAATCTGCCAATGGGGTAAGCAAAATAATCTTATTTCAAACAAAAAAAAACAAGATTATTTTGCTTGTTTCAAGCAAAAACTCACTTAATTTTGGCTTAATTTATCTGAAAACAAGACAATCATTTTTTACTTGTCTAGAAAAGCCTTCTTGATTTAAGAATTTGTAGATATTTTTGGCTGGAAACAAGACAAACAAATCTAAGAAAAGCATTTTTTGCAGTGCATCCAGGGAAACTGAGCTGGTGTTAAAGCTTCATCAGTTACAGTGAATGCAGAGATGGTCTCTGGCGCCACCGTGTGTTTGAGCTCATCTCACAGGAGTCTAAATCTGCTGAAACTCGCTCTAAACCTGAATGTGACTGACAGATACACTTCTGAACAGGTTCAGCATGAGCCCTGTTAAAAACACTGATGATCTGGATTCTGGTGCCGTGACCCGGACTCGTGCAATCACCTGTCTGCAGGACATCGCCGGCCGTCAGCGCGCTGGTGGAGCGAGAGTGTCTGTGGGATGCTGGGAAGGATCAGGTCACACACATTTCAGAAACAAACTCTCATTTTACTAGTGACACATGACAGTTTATTCTTTTAGTTCACTAACACGCTCGCAAACACAGAGAGTTAAATGAAGAGAAATTATAGGAAAGAAATATATGAAACCAACTGGTTAGATTTTAGAGTTTGGATGAAAGAGTTGCATTGATTTAGCCAGCAATATAAAATTAGGCAACACTGTGAATATAGCAATAATTGTAATACGCTTTCAATTTGGCTATCAAGTTCACAATGTTCATGAAGTCTCCATGTAATCGTTTTCTTATGAATTAAGATGCAGTAAATATACAAGTAGATGATATAATGCTGTTGTTTTATGTGTTGTTGTTATATTGGTGCATTAAAATAGTTAACACTATTTCAGAACAAGTGCATAAATAATAACCAGGTTTATTATAGTTAACTAAACCTAAAACTAAAACCATAAAAAACATTTTCGTTACTTTAAATAAATGTTAAAATAAATAAAATTAAAATAAAAAATAAAAATGATAATTTGTCATATTAATAATAGTAATAATAATAATAATAATAATAATTAAAGTTTCCCTTTCAAGAAAATCATAAAAATAGAACAAAATATGTAAAATATACAAATAATATTAATATATTATTACTACTATTATTTATATTCAAATTCACCTTTTAAGAAAATCATAAAAATGACAATGTAATGTAATATAATTTTATTTCAGCTAGTTGACAAGGCAATTATTCTCATTTATCTAAACTTGATATATTAAAATAACTAAAATTTAACTAAAAATTAATAAAAACTATACAGACATTTAAAAACGAATAAATATGAAAAAACACACAACAAAATTACTAAAACTTTAACTAAATTGAAAACGAAAAATTAAAATTAAAACTAATTCAAAATACAAATTAAAACTATAATAGTCTCTCAATGATAACACTGATATTGACCTGTATATGAATATCATCAAAAGGCTAAAAAATGTTAGCATATATATTTTGTCATATCATTCAGTCCTAATGTTTCATGGGACATTAAAGGCGAAACAGAAACATTTAAATCCAAACTACTCAAAGCAAACTCATTCATAGCTGAAGTGTGAGTAAAGACATGCGCAGGAGTCTGGTCTGGTCTGGATTTGGGCTCTTACCCAGCAGACTGAACCCTCGAGCCGGACTGGTGTCTCTGCTGCTCTCCCGACTGGTGTCACGACTACAGCCCTGACTCATGCTGGGGCGCGGGATACGACTGGCCCGCACTGACACGCACACACACACACACACACACACACACACACACACACACACACACACACAGACAGACACGGATACAGACACAGACACGCAGACACACACGCAGACACACACACACAGACGCACACGCAGACACACAGACACACAAACACAAACACAGACACAGACACACACACACACACACACACACAGACACACACACACACACACACACACACACACACACACACA